TGAAGAAATTTTTTCTCATATCCAATCTAAATCTATCCTGGCACAACTTGAGGCCGTGGTCTCCCCTCAGCCTCTTTTTCTCTAGGCTAAACCACCTCAGTTCCCTCAGCTGCTTCTCTTAAGACTTGCTTTCTAGACCCTTCACCAGCTTTCTTGCCCTCCTTTGGACACGCTCCAGCACCTCAATGTCTTCCTTATAGTGAGGAGCCCAACACTGAACACAGTATTCCAGGTGCAGCCTCACTAGTGCTGAGTACAGGGGGACGACCACTTCCCTAGTCCTGCTGGCCACAATATTTCTGATACAAGCCAGGATGCTGTTGGCACTCTTGGCCACCTGGGCATGTTGCCGGCTCATATTCAGCCAGCTATCAACCAACACCCAAGGTCTTTTTCCACCCGGCAGCTCTCCAGCCATTCTTCCCCAAGCCTATAGCATTGCATGGGATGTTGTGACCCAAGAGTGCAGGACCCAAAGTTAGCTTTCTATAGCAAATGAGGGAAAAAGCAACTGAGCCCCAGCTGACAGGGTGTTGCACACACGCCTGCGCTACACAAACCACACGGGGAGACTCTGCAGCCTCCTGAGGAGCATGTTGCTATGAGGACACAGAGCAGGGACACGGAAACAGCTTTGTGCTGTAGAGCTAGGCTGGTTCGTCCTGCTCTGCTTGAATGAGGCAGGTACTCCTGCTGTCCTCAGGAAAGTTCACCAGTTCCCTAACAGCGTGCTCGTCCAATCACTCTTGAGCACGCAGGCTGTCGTTTGACAACATACATGAAAACATGAATCTGGTTTTGAAGGGGTTTTAAACCCAGCAGTCCTTACAGCAAAACATGACCAAAACTCCCGTGCTGTGAAATCACGGGCTGTAGTGTCTCTGCAGTACTACCTGTGGTAAGGGCTGCTTCACTCTGGGGCATAGCATGCAGCAAATCAGTAAATTAGCTTAGCATGACTCCAGTGCAACACAAGCAAATAAATCAAGTAACAGGGAGCAGCACTGGCAAGCACATTGCAAAGACAGTTGAATGATTTCTTGCGCAGCCGGCGCAGGTCTGGCAGACCCAGTGCTAAGCTAGAGCTAATAAAACCTGGCGAACCCAAGCTGTGCCTGCATCTGTGGTGCAATTAATCTGTGACATGAACAATCTGCCTGCAGATAACTGTAAGCTGAGTATATGTACAAATTTAACAACTCACATTAATTAATACTTACAGCTAGATTGAAAAAATATCACTCATATTTGGCAACAAATAGAAAATACCATTACAACTCACAAGCGTGAAGTTCATGCATCAATAATTATGAGACAGATAGCAAAGTCATGATACTGTACATGTGCATTTTGATTTTGCAATTTAATTTTGATCTCCCTGTTATTATCATCTCTTATGATAGACAACATAAATTCCGTTACCATGGCACACAGAAGTCTCACTCACAGACACTATTGCGTTGAGTGATACAATAGAGAACAAAATGTAACACCACAAAGTGTTAACAGAGACCTATGAGACAAAAGATAAGAGTATGAAGAGATGAGAACGGTCAACATGCTAAGGAGAGATTTTTGCATACTAGCAGCTTAGATACTGTCAATTTTTATGGGCATCACTGTAAAACAGCCCGTTAGGGAGGGAAGGCTTTGCATGATGATAATGAGAGCGCTTTTTATTTAGAAGTTATGGTTTCTACACCATATTACCAGTGTTTCTCCTGCCCATGTCAGTTCAAAACAAGAACAATTGTGTCAGGACAAAAACTTCTGCTTTTCCTGTTGCTCTGAAGTCTACAATCCACATGGGGTAGCGTCAGCAGTCTTTCCTCCTAAATCCTAATATTAGGGAGGGTAAGTGACCTAAGAGGGGAACACACTTCCTACCTATGACAAAAGACAAAGCACTACAGGCCATAGCATCCAGGCAACTTCTCATCTCCTCCCTTCTGAGAAAAGGGTCATGTTCTGGCAAAAAAAAGGCAAAGGGCAAAAGCTCAATCAATCTCCTATAATCATCTTAAGTGGCTGCTCAACCCCAGGTGTTGGGCAAATGCAGAAGTTAGTAGAGGTTTATCCATGGGCCTGACATTGATCAGTGGTGCCTTTTTAAGACCATCTCTGGCCTTTGCTGAAATCTTGCAACTTGCAAAAAAGTCGTGAGCCCTGGCTCATGTTTCAGGTACACTAGATGTCAAGGCTCAGAGCACAGCCCTCATCTAGGAGCATCATTGGCTGTGTTATTTTAGCTGGCTGAATCCAAGGTCAGCTGCTCTGCTGATAAGACCTGTTGTGAAGAAAGCTAGAAGCAACAACCTCCCTCTCCTTTCCCTTGGGAACTGCTTTTAAGCTGAGGCACATTGCAGCTGGGCAGCAGCTACATCTGCACCTGGTTGCCTACCTCCTTGATCCTGATTTTGACATACTGACTGGGCTTCCAGGCTTGGTGTCAGACCTGCCTCATCACTACAGACTTGCTGTGCAATCACTGGACTATGTCTGACCCTCATCGCTGTCTCTGGCCCTGATCATGAATGAACCAAATGTGCTGCTACACATCTTTCTTCTTGGTGAGGTCTCTGCTCCCATCTGCCTCGGTATCGTGCTCACTTTTCCTTGCAGAGCAGCCGGCCCTCGCTGCCCCCTGACATTGCCACACTAAACTCATTACCGCACTGCCACGCTTAAAAATTTAATCAATCACACAGACCTGTTGACGTTCAGAACAACTGTGCTGACTGTCCACAGAAAAAGAAGCATAAGCCATGTGAGATAGCAGATACACACAGATTCACCTCTCACAGCTCAGCTACCTATCACAGGCATGCAGCTGCTCCACACACCTTTGTTTCACCTTAAATTAATTCCTACACTTCAAGACTGTGTAAAGATTTGTAAAGCCAGCGTGACCAGCCATCAGGACAACTCTGACTTGGGGGAAGCCTTTGCAGAATGCGTAACCAAGATGCAATTTCTTTCCTTGCATGGGGCTCATTAGGACTGCTGTGGCACTTTAGCTATTCTTGGCTGCTCAACTGGCTCTGGATGCTGTAGAGGGCAAGTGTACAGATGGTCAACATGCATATATTATGATTATTACTAGGCTGCAAGGCTTATACCTGAACTAGAATTCTGTTGAGTTTATAAACAGAATGCAGATGCACGAACATCTAAATATAGGACAGGAGATGACAGACACATACAAATGGAGGAGAACCATTTTGGGTAGTATGATAGACAGTGGTATCAGTATACCAGGAAACTTACCATTATCAAATTTCATCACAACAAAAGGTGATTGTTAGGGAGGGTTTGAAAAAGAAAGATGATACGCTTCTGTGTATACTTAGGAGACCTGGGACAAAAGTGAAGGAAACAATGAAAGCAAATAAGAGGACAATGAAAGAAAATAAGATGCTTCTCTGTTCAACAAGTGGCTATAAAATACTGATGTATTCAGCTGATGACAGACAGACCCAACTACTTGGTACAAAAGATAGATGATGACATGTGGGAAAGGCATAGGCTGTGAAAGCTTGCAGTTGAAAAAAGACACTCGCCAAGACCAAAGAAAATAACGTTCTGAGAGTTAGGATGAAAGATGAAAACACTGAGAAGTGGTGTGGATGGATAGAGAGGACTGTATAACAGAGATCTGCTGCAGAGACAATCTTAAAGATTTAGAATTGGACTTTAACAGGTGATTTATGTTATAATTTTAGCTCAAGCTATGTCTGCTTTGGAAAAAGAGATCGTCTTACTGGTTTTATTCTGGCTAGATGCCCAATAAACAAACTGTTAATAATTCATCTTTCATTTGTGACCTAAAAAACTAACTACTATTTGACTATTCCTAGCAAGATTAACCATCGAACAAGTGATTAACATATCTGATGTGATGGAATGACTCAAAAAACAGCAGATGTCTGTGAAAGAACCGAATTGTATAATTCAGGCATGCATGCACTGGGACTAGAAAACATCAGTGAAGAATGTAGGAAGGGACGGACATCAGAAGCATGTATGCATTAATAGTGACAGTGGTGCCATTTTCACCTTTTGCTGCTTATGCAAGTATTAAACTGGTTTTGTTCCATTGTTTGTCACTGTGGTCATCCATTACTGCTCCCTCTTTAGTTTACTCCTTTCTGTCCTCAACTCTACCATTCACTCACCAAACTACCCAAACTGTGCTTCCACGCCTCACCTAATCGATCTCCTCTGTCCCGAGATCTCCTAATAGAGAAAGGTCTTTCCTGCCTAATTTATTTTTCAAAAGCCATCTTCTTGGCCTTGCCTGCTTGCTTAGCTCAAAAATTCCCCCTCCATTTCCCCAAGGACTTCTAACACTCAATTGTTTCCTGCTGCCACTATGCCAGCATCGTTCCTAACTCCCCATGCATCCTCAGTTTCCTCTTACCCTCTTTCTGTTGTTGGTGACTTCTCCAAATTTTCCGAAGATGATTTCTGAAATCTTGTCATGTCTTCTACGTGTTACTGTAGGAAACAGCACAGTGACTCACTGTCTTATTACACTGCAAAACTTTAAATGTCTATCTTTAAGAACGTGTAGAGTGTCTCCGAAGATATTCAAAATGTAAGAGCAGGCATGATTGACTGTCTTAAGAAACAATAGTTGTTTTGATTGCATTTAGAAACGTCATAAGATGCCAGAGTACATTGCCCTAGGATGTACATTGATGTGTTTTAGTTATGTTCACAATGGTAGAAACAATAATCAAAATCAAAAAGATAGCACAAATAATTTGATAGATTGTTTTACAAGTGTTTTATGGTAACTCTAATGGAAGTCTATGCTGTTTAATGAGCTGCTTTCTTTTTCTGTGTTTTTCCTTTGATCTTTACAGCTGTCTCCAAAAGAATATTTTCGAGTACAGAAAGCAGTATGCAACAGTGTTAAAATCCTGATGACAATACACCAAGAACAAGAATGGAAGTAAATTTATTCAGCAATTCTACTGTTGTAAACAGTTCATCCATCAACCATAAGCAGTTAGAAGGGCATAGCCTCTGGGAAGTCATTACTATTGCCACTGTAACTGCAATTGTAAGCTTAATGACCATAGTGGGAAATATTCTTGTAATGATATCCTTCAAAGTTAACAGTCAGCTCAAAACTGTTAACAATTATTACTTGCTCAGCCTTGCCTGTGCAGATCTCATCATTGGAATATTTTCTATGAACCTTTATACTTCCTATATACTCATAGGCCATTGGTCTCTTGGAAGCCTTGCCTGTGACCTGTGGCTAGCACTGGACTATGTAGCTAGCAACGCCTCAGTAATGAACCTCCTAGTCATCAGTTTTGACAGATATTTTTCCATCACAAGGCCTTTAACTTACAGGGCCAAGCGCACGCCCAAAAGAGCTGGCATCATGATTGGTCTGGCTTGGCTAATTTCCTTTGTGTTATGGGCGCCCGTCATCTTGTGCTGGCAGTATTTTGTGGGTGAACGAACAGTACCACCTGAAGAGTGCCAGATACAGTTTTTATATGAGCCCATTATCACCTTTGGTACTGCCATCGCCGCTTTTTACATTCCAGTGTCTGTGATGACCATCCTGTATTGCCGCATCTATAAAGAGACAGAGAAACGTACCAAGGATCTTGCTGAGCTGCAGGGTTCAGAGTCTGTGGCAGAGTTTGAGATGATAAAGCCTCAGAAAGCTCTCTTGAAGTCTTGCTTCAGTTGCAAGCAACAAAACTTAGTCAAAAGAGAGAGGTGTCAGGCTTCCTGGTCTTCATCTAGTCGAAGTACCTCAGCTACAGTGAAAGCCTCTCAGACAGCGAGTACTTGTAACGACTGGGCTAAGGTTGACCAGTTAACCACCTGCAGCAGCTACGCATCCTCAGAAGAGGAAGATAAACTTGCCGCTGATTCAGTTTTCCAAGTAACTTACGAAAGTCCATCCAAAGGTAAGGCAGAAGAGTTTCATGAGAGTACAGATGTTGTTGTCAAAGACCAACCTGGAGAAAATGATTTTGAGAATCAGAAATACTTTTTGTCACCTGCCAAAGGCCACGTACAAAAAAATAAAAAATGCGTGGCCTATAAATTCCGATTGGTAGTTAAGGCTGATGGCACCCAGGAGGCCAACAATGGTTGCCGTAAAGTGAAAATAACTCCTTGTCCTGCTGCTCTGTCAAAGGATCCTTCAATCAAAAGCATGGATCCAAATATAAATAACCAAATCACCAAAAGGAAACGAATGGTTCTTATAAAGGAACGCAAAGCAGCACAGACCTTAAGTGCCATTCTTTTGGCTTTTATCATCACCTGGACTCCCTACAATATCATGGTTTTGATCTCCACATTCTGCTCTGACTGCATTCCCCTGACACTGTGGCACCTTGGGTATTGGCTATGCTATGTGAACAGCACTGTTAACCCTATTTGTTATGCCCTCTGTAACAAAACTTTCAGGAAAACTTTTAAGATGCTGCTTTTCTGCCAGTGGAAAAAGAAAAAAGTGGAAGAGAAACTGTACTGGCAGGGCAATACCAGACTGCCATAATTGCTCTTACATAAGGGACAAGGGAGAAAATAGATATTTATGTAACCTGGTAAATTGGCTGTAATTCTGTCTTTTCAAAGTTATTGCTTTATATGTCTAGGGGTTAAAAAAATTCTGCAGAAAAGTAAAATTTTGCATGAAAGTAGTATGCTTGGAATAAGGAAGTCAGTGGCTGCTGTGAGCAACACCAGGTGGCTTTGATTATGCAGTAGATCCGCATTAAATTTATTACGTCTGGGGTCTTCTGTCCTTTCTTTCAGCCTGAGAATATGTAAAGTAAATTAAAAACTACTAGAAATTAGAATGAGATGGTCATCCAGTCATCAGGTCAGGTCATCCAGTCTGTCCCTCTGTAGTGCAAAACTGTTTCTTCCTATAGTTCCTTTCTCGTGTATTGTCTGTTTAGTTTTCAATGTATCAAGCAACGGAGCTCATACTGTTTCTGTTTTGAGACTTTTCCACCTCCTGTTGGAGTGAAACAAGAAGCCAGTCCCAATCTCAGTTCCACTACGCAAGTCACTGTTATCTGTAAAAAATGGTGATGGTTAGCAGATAACTCTGACTTTCTCCATTTCTCAATGCCTCTGAAGGAAATTCTAAAATTTTATGTGATAGTGGCAATGGTACAAATCAGAACTGACTGTAAAGCATAATGGACATACTCTATCTACTTTAAAACACAAGGAAAGTCTTTTTTTGCAATCTCCTTTGTTGTGCTTTCCCTTGCCCCAAAAGTTTTCATTACTGATGGAATGATGCAGAACAAGAGAAGAATATGTACTGATGACCTGTACATTTACCTATATAATATGTAATCATTACAAATGGTGACAGAATTGGTGTCTCTGAAAGAAGAAAGATTTTTTTTTAAGTAATTTTTGAATATTTCTATAAAACTATTAAGGATGCCTTGCACTTTCCTAGCACTTTTTATCTTTAAATAGATTTACAAATTCTAGTCAACATCAGGTATTTGGAAACAAAAGTTGTCTCCAGTCACTATCTTTTGGTCCAGCAGAAACGTATCTGCTACAGTACTGGGGGCTGGAGTTAACCCCTCTGACGGCTGTGGCTTCTGGAACTGGGCTGTACTGGCCTAGTTACAATGAGCTGAGACTCTGACCACTAGTCAAGGTTTGGAGGGGCTTTGGGTTTGTGGTGAGGACTCTTCTGTGGCAGGGTTGATCTGCATGTGCCCATCTGATGTCTATGTTAGATTGGCAGGAGTCCTGCAGCATTGACCGAGTAAGTGCGTAAGTGAGGGGCTGCCTTCAGCAGAAGGCCATTGGAACGGATCTGGTGACCTAGCTCCTCATGGTGGGAACAAACATGAAGCCCCAGAAAAGGCCATGAGAAAGCAAAGTTAATGGCAACAGGAGTCATAACGAATGAATTTCTACAGTAAAGAAATGTGTATGAATAAATGAGAAAGATCTCCGTATACACAAAGTTCAGATTCAGTTCTAGGCTTTCTATCAAAGTTTGGGGTGAGATGCTCTGGAATATTAGTTTGGGCCAATCTTCATATTATATCTACTAAATGCTTTAGTGGGACGTTGCAGTGGTGACATGACCCAGTTGCACATTTCAAGGAATGTATTAGTCATCCTGAATGTACCGTTGCTCTCCCTCAGTGAAATTGTTCGTATAATTTATTAAATGATCATACCATTAAAATGTTTCCCTACTGATAAATAATTCCTCCATGTCAACAATCACAGTACCAGTAATTAATATTTTTTATCCCAAATCTCCAGAGGGGAAAATTGTGTCAGTGAAAGATTAGCAGTGTAGTAATGTAAAAATATGTTCTCTAAATTCACGATTGATTTTGTAACACACCATACTGTGCTTATTATTTTTTGTGCGTTAGCATATGATTGCTTATTAAAGGAAAGTATGGGTCTTTATAAAAAACCTTTCATCAACTTTCCTCTGTCACTATCCAGAGCTTTTCCTGTGTACAGTAACTATGTACAACTTGGTTATTATAGTGGGTTTATTTTATGTTAAATTGGATCAGACATTCAGTAAACTGTGTTTGATTTTTAGCAAATGAACGTGTCCCACTGCGGCACAAGCTGTAGTTAAAGGCAAAATTTGTTGGGTAGTAACAGTTCCTGCTAGCTGCAGTGTTGTTGCTGAAGTAAAGCATTGGCTTCTACTGAAATTAAATGGGATATTTTTGTTGGTTTTGGCTTCTGTTGAAGAAGAGTGTTTTGTAAATGTTTATGGATGCTGTGCTCAGTAAATGTATTAGAATACATGGTGATATATGCAACAATGTTGGTTCAATGTAATTGTGAAATATGTGCTCAAACTATGCTGCTAGCACTTCACCATGTGAGACATTACATGGCCAAACATGGGTACGCTGTAAATACCTAGAATTATATAAAGAGGTGTGTGTTGCTTTGTTGTTACCTAGGATGTTTATTCTTAAAAAAAAATCAAAACCACAAAAAGAAAAACATGATCCTCATCAGAGTATCAGTTAGTACTTAATTTTATTTTGTTTTCAAATTATATTTTGTATCTTTAAAAAGTGTTGTGAGACTTTTGCAGTTAGAGCAATCTTGTTATCTGTATTTCTGTTCTTTTAATGAACCTTTTACTGATCCTATAATTGATTATGTTCATGGTCATGGACTGGTGAAAAGATCTTTTTTTGTAAAATTACATTTTATTTATACATAATCACATGCACATACATATATGTAGATATGTATGTATGTATTATCAATATAGATGCATAAATGTACATCCCTAACTAAGCTTTTCAGAGTCTGAACACACTTCATTTTTGAATATGGAATTTTCCCACGAACTGGGGGTATCATTTTTGTCTCTCTCTTTTCATACATACCAGTCCCATTATATATTCCAGATCCCCATAAATACTCAAATAACATTAATTTTTTTGTAAATACAATTTATGTTTGTAGATAATTACGTGGAAGAGTTACCAGAATTTTTAAATGGGTGTAGAACACCTAATTACAGTTGTGCACTTTCTGTGACTACTTAGCACAGAGTGAAGAGCTTTGCAAAGGATGGAAAGTCAAGATAGAACATAAATGCAGGGGTTTCCTTTATATAAAAATCCTCTTGAATTGAGGAAGGATGAAATCGAAAGAGTTATAGAGAAAATACTGTGAGAACTTGTAAAATATGATAGAGCATATTTTGCCATTAATTATATAATTCAATTGCTAATCATGCTTATCCTACTCAAATATGCACGTCAATTAGTAACTGCTATTAACTGTCGAAAGTTATTTTTATATGTGTATGTGGAGGGTTGACCGTGGTTGGATGCCAGGTGCCCACCAAAGCCGCTCTATCACTCCCATCCTCAGCTGGACAGGGGAGAGGAAATATATCAAAAGGCTCCTGGGTCGAGATAAGGCCAGGGAGATCATTCAGCAATTAACCATCATGAGCAAAACAGACTTGACTTGAGGAAAGTAATTTAATTTATTACCAATCAAATCAGAGTAGGATAATGAGAAATAAAAACTAAATCTTAAAACATCTTCCTCCTACCCCTCCCTTTTTTCATGGCTTAACTTTACTCCCAATTTTCTCTACCTCTTCCCTGCCAGCGGCACAGGAGAGGAGGTCGCGGTCAGTTCATCCCACGTTGTCTCTGCCACTCCTTCTTCCACAGGGAGAGGACTCTTCACACTCTTCCCCTTCTCCAGTGTGGGGTCCCTCCCATGGGAGACAGTTCTCCGCAAACGTCTCCAATATGAGTCCTTCCCACGGACTTCAGATCTTCACAAACTACTTCAGCATGGGTCCTTTCTACAGGGTGCAGTCCTTCAGGAACAGACTGCTCCCACGTGGGCTCCTCTCTCCATGTGGCCACAGATCCTGCCAGGAGCCTGCTCCAGCCTGGGCTTCCTAGAGAGTCACAGCCTCCTTTGGGTGCATCTACCTGCTCCGGTGCGGGGTCCTCCATAGGCTGCAGGTGGATCTCTGCTCCACTGCTAACCTCCATGGACTTCAGGGACAGCCTGCCCCACCATGGTCTTCACCATGGGCTGCAGGGGAATCTCTGCTCTAGCGCCTGAAGCACGTCCTTCCCCTCCATCACTGGAGGAGGTCGCGGTCAGTTCATCCCACGTTGTCTCTGCCACTCCTTCTTCCACAGGGAGAGGACTCTTCACACTCTTCCCCTTCTCCAGTGTGGGGTCCCTCCCATGGGAGACAGTTCTCCGCAAACGTCTCCAATATGAGTCCTTCCTACGGACTTCAGATCTTCACAAACTACTTCAGCATGGGTCCTTTCTACAGGGTGCAGTCCTTCAGGAACAGACTGCTCCCACGTGGGCTCCTCTCTCCATGTGGCCACAGATCCTGCCAGGAGCCTGCTCCAGCCTGGGCTTCCTAGAGAGTCACAGCCTCCTTTGGGTGCATCTACCTGCTCCGGTGCGGGGTCCTCCATAGGCTGCAGGTGGATCTCTGCTCCACTGCTAACCTCCATGGACTTCAGGGACAGCCTGCCCCACCATGGTCTTCACCACAGGCTGCAGGTGGATCTCTGCTCCACTGTTAACCTCCATGGACTTCAGGGGAACAGCCTGCCCCACCATGGTCTTCACCATGGGCTGCAGGGGAATCTCTGCTCTAGCGCCTGAAGCACGTCCTTCCCCTCCATCACTGGCCTTGGTGCCTGCAGAGTTGTTTCTCTCACATATGCTCACTCCTCTCTCTCAGCTGCAATTGTCCTTGCACAGCTTTTTTCCGCCTTTTTAAATATGTGATCTCAAAGGCACTACCACCGTTGCTGATGGGCTTGGCCTTGACCAGCAGCAGGTCTGTCTTGGAGCTGGCTGGCATTGGCTCTATCAGACATAGGGAAGCTTCTAGCAGTTTCTCACAGAAACCACCCCTACAGCCCCCCTGCTACCAAAATCTTGCCACGCAAACCCAATATAGTGGATTTTTGTTCCTCGTGTCTATTGTACTATTGTATTAATGAGACCTGCACTGGG